TGAATTAACATATTAATTAGATTAACATATTTAATGATTGTTTGATTATCTCATTAGTCTATTTTGTATCATTATACCTTTTATATCAAGTTGTAGGAAGAATTATAACAAAATACAATTATATTTTTAGCTTCTATTCTCGAAATGTAATTATTTATATTCCATTTTACGTAACATCAGCAAATAATTATAATCAATACTGATACTCTTAGAAGTTCATTAAACTTTACTATTATCGATTAATTATCTCGCCTAATGGACGGAGCAAATATTGATCTCGAAACCGTATGATAATATTTGATCTGACAGTTCTAGAAAAGATCACACGCGTTTCTTATCGGCTGCAGTAATATCGTACGTAATAGGATCGTATTACGGATTGAGATATTGGGAGAGCCGATGCAGAGATTTATTGCTATTAGCTTCCTGTATGATATAAACATATAAACGTGGAACGTATTATATTGTATAAACTTGGATTAATAATAATTATAGGATAATGAAAATCATTAGCCGAAGCATTGTCTATAATAATATTTTCTATTATGCATACGTATATAATTTTCCATGTTTATGATAATATTTTAATAATATTTTAATCTTCTTCAATAAATGTATGTCAAGTATTAATTTTGTATAAAATTATACAATACTTCCTTCTCTATCCTCCATTCCCTCTTCGCGATTTCCCGCATTGTTTCCAAAGGGTTACGGATAAAACGTTACCTCTATGAGATAATAAGGGCAGTGCATTCGCTTACACATACACACACACACATATACACGGGAAAGAGAAGAGAAAGGAAAAGCAGACTACCGGCGGCGCCATGCTGTAACGCCTCCCTTTGTCCCTTTTTACCCATAACGACCGACGACCTCGCGAGATACCGCGATAGACGAGAACCCTAGAGAGAAAGGAGGATATACAGGAAAATTCTCGGATATATAGGATGTTTAAGGAGGAGAATATCTCATTGTTCAAGTCTGATGCTATCGCCTCCCCCCCCCCCCCCCCCA